CTTTCCAGCTGATCGGGGCTGTCAGGGCTCAGTGGAAGCACCAGGATCAGCACCAGGCTCCAGCTGGAGCTCGGCGCTGATCCTGGCGCTTCTGCTGAGCCCAGAAGAAGCACCGATCAGCTGGAATGTTGCAGCATCTCCAGGGTCTTGTGATTTATATTCAGATGCTTGGCAACTGATTCATATTTATGACAGTCACAGTGTCCCAGGGTCATATGAAGTAACCAAAACCTGCTGCAACCACCCAGCAGACAGGTGGAATAAAAACCAAACACCCCCCACCCCACCTCCGCTGCCAATCCTCAAAAGAAATGCTCACAACAATGAAAACCTCGGACAGGAGGAAGAGCGCGGCCAGGTGGGCAGGCAGGTGTCTTGCTCGGCTGTGGCTTGGGGGGCACTTTTTTCAGTGCCATTATAACTTCGAACAGTCATTAAGCGAACTGTTGTAAGTCGAGGACTACCTGTACTTTATCACTTTTTTCCTTTTTTTTTTTTTTTTTTTGGTCATCAAGTTTTTGACACCTTGCTAGGCGACTGATGGTACTCGGATATTGCCATATCCTAAAAGTGGTACAATGGGTGAAAAGGTTGAAAAGCCCTGCTTTAGAAAACCATACACATTGTTAATTTATGAGACAGATGAGTTGTTTAATAACAGGCAGCCAGAAAATGGAGGGAAATCCTATTCTACAAGATTGAGAAATAGAAAGGGTTATAGGAAAACATGGCCTGGTAATGGAAACAAATGGATAGAGAAACACAAAAGCTTACAAAAATGAAGATTGAAAGGCCATTTAGAAACAGGAGCTAAAATCTCTCAGGTAGGCTTTTAAAAACTGAAAGGGGCAGGTCCATTTCTGTTTTGGCCTTTTGCTTTTGTTTTCCTGTTTGAGCTCTTCCCCAGCTGTGGCTAAAACCAGGGTGAACTTGGGAAAGCAAGATCCCTATTTGAACATGAATTTCTTTTAGAGTTAGGATTTCAGCTGAATTAACCTTCTCTTCTTAAATTTCTTTTTCCCCTCTCCCTTGTTAGTTCTTTAACTTCGATTGACATACTATAATAAAGACATGAATTCTTAATGCATCAGTGACAATTATTTTGAGCAAAGGGGATTCTTCTTATTGAAGTAACCTATTCAAGGACAAAATTATTGCCATTTGTGTGAGCTGAGCTCAAGCCAACATTTTTCAGATCTGCACATACATGCATGTGCACCATTACACAGATCTACACAAAAATTAAACATTTCTCCAATATACCAATCTATCACTAGAGTGCACTGCTAAATTTTCACAATGTTTTGGTCTTTGCTCAACCAAGCCTGTTTTTTCTAGCTTGGTGGTTGGAATTGTTCAAATTACAACCTTATAATTACACAATTACAAATTGTGATGCTGTGAAGGTCTTGCAGATAGTTTTGCATCATCAACATCAACAAAGTTTTATATAAAGTCCACAATTATTATTTTTGTTTTTAAAAACCCCTTAATGGCTGATTAACAAATCTCTTAACAATGATCCAATTACTGATTTTGATGTTATTGCGGTAAAAAGAAATAATGTCTGTTTCAGGTTAAATTCAGTTCCTTCTGATTTCATGGATATGTCCATGTTATTTTTTTAGCAGCAATATGGAAGTGTTTTTCTATTTTATATTGTAGGATTTTTTCCCCACCTTTTGTGACTGGTTCTGGAATTCCTTGGAGATTTCCCATCAAAAGTTAAGCAGGTTTACTATACTTGCTTAAATGCAAAAAGTATTAATATATAGGTCATTTAGAACCTTTATTTATCTGTATTTGCATCCCAGTTCTTATTTAAAAACAGGATGGTGGCAAGATGAAAAACATACAAATTCATTGCTTTAAGTAGCATTCAGTCTCCTTTGATGTCCACAATTGACACTCCCTAAGTATGAACTCACAGAGTTGAAACTTACTATCATTATGAAATTAGGTTACAGTGTATAAAATGGTTCTTCTTTTTCAGTCTTTATCCCATTACATTACAGTTCAAAATTCTTGATTTTAGATGGATTCATAAAACTTAAAAAATGTGAAATTATATATATATTATTAACTTTCCCTGTATTTAGTTTAGTAATAACATACAGAATCTTGTATTTTATGAAAAAGCTTTGTGCCCATTTTAATGAAATCTACTGACTAAATTAGTACATATACTAATAAAGACAATGGAAGCAGTTCACAACTGTACATCTGTCCACTTCATTTTGAGATGTAATTTCTATAACTGATGTTTGTAAAAGTATCATTGTAACCAGAATTTCCAACATTAACTAACAACAAAAATCTTAGATATCAAAATAAAGAGAAAAGCTGTGCAATTAAATGGACAATCAAAACTACCTTTCCTTACCAAATCATCCTAAAAGTTTAGAAAAGTGTCTTGAACTGGACCTCAGTATTCTTTTCTAAACTCTACAATATTATAGAAGTTGGATGGAACCATTAATCTAAACTGTAAAGCAGACTAGGAGAACTACATCTTCAACTATGCATCTCTCAACCCAACAAAAATTAGATGACTTAGCAAGCTCAGCAGAAAAGGGTAATTTACTTACAAGCTGAGCTGTCACAGACTGATTTCTTAAGCAATTCTTGGCTTGTACAGCTTTTAACACTACTGTTTGTTATTGTTTTTTAAATTTTTACAAAATGAAGTAGCTCTCTCTGGAACTCAAAAATAAAATAAAATTATAATAAGATATTGCTTTCTTTGGATGTTCTCATGGGGTCACATTTATTTATTTACCCCATTTCCCCTCCATTTCAGGTGTATCTGCAACTGAAACCATTCTTGAATTATTTAACTACACAATCCAAAATTTTTATGCAAGCTTATATCCATTAGTTTTGCTGGTAAGCCTCACTCCTAGGAATGGGCAAATTTGTTCCTACAAATTTGAACATGTGCCTAATTATGGTATGTTATACACTGTACTTTACAATATTTTTCAATATTGTAATGATAATTTTCATATATTGATATTTGCACGATTTCTCCAAAGTACCAATTTGTATGGAGAATGTAAGATCTACAGTACTCTCATAATAAAATCAAAAATATCATTTAAGAATAAATGTACATGAATTCACAGAACCTGTAATATATTCTTTACTTCACTAACATTTTTCAGCTACAGTATATATATATAATCTCAATCAGTTTCAAATACTCATGGCAAATGAGAGAGTGATATTTTCAGACATTTAGCTGCTTTCTTTAATAATCTACAAATTTTTAAAACAACTTAATGTGTTCCAATAGTTACAGAGGGAAAGAAAGTAACCAGGAGAAACCAGGAGACTGTGAGTTCTAGTCCCACCTTACCCATGAAATCTAACTGGGTGACTGATTTTAGGCCAATCTTCTTCTCTCAGCCCAACTCCACAGGGCTGTTGTTGTGGGGAAAATGGGAGGAGGAAGGAGTATTAGGTATGTCTGCTGCCTTGAGTTACTTAAAAAGTAATAAAGGCGAGTTAAAAATCAAAATCAAATCAATAAATAAACTGATACTAATATATCTTATAATATCACAGATGATTTTGATCAAATGTGGATAATCACAATTAAATCCAAATGTGCATTATTCATATTCTTGCATGCAATCACTTTGCTCTTTCCTTTTTGCAATGAATAAACTGTGAAGTTTTTGTAGACCAACATTTGCTTTATGTTCCAACAGGGAATGTATTAATAGCCTCCAACTTCAAATCATGGTTCCATTTTCTTGTTTGTTTGGAAACCATAAAAAATAGTTTCCCACTTAGAGCATAATGGAAAGCTATAATTAACCATTTCCTGGCTCACCTGCACAAAGAATGAACTGAAACAACTGCCTGTGAAATACAGGAAGCGTGTTCTTATTTTAGACTACAAAATGGAGATTTGTAAACTATGTGGATACCATACCTTTTTTACATTTTCAAAAAGGGGTTTTATCTATGCATTTATTATTTTTAAAAAATCTTTAAGAGAAGACATCACTACATTTAGAATAGCAAGGCACTTTTCCATTATATATTGCTGATCTAAATACTGAAATACAAAAATCACATCTGCAGGACTCATCATCTAAATGTACAAAATGTAACTTTGAACCCCAAGGGTCAAAATTATTATTCTTGCAAGAATTAGATTTTTTTTACAGGTACATATGGAACAATTACAGCTCCTTTAAAGCATACATGTTAAAAACTATTTTTAACTAATTCAAAGAAGTCAATTCTGGAAGCTTATATTCCATTCAACTATGCATCAAAGACAGTACAACAATGTAATATTGTGCTTATTAAAATATAAGAAAATGCAAAGCACTTTGCAAAGTATTATATTTTATAAGACATAATGGTAAAATATAAAGCTGATATTTAAAATAAATTACTAATTGTCAAAAAGTTATGAGATGCATCAAGTTAAGATAAATAATGTTAAAAAGTTGCAGAAAACTACTTGCATAGGAAATTATCACAGAATTACATACATTCAGCACTACGTATTCAACTTTATCATTCCTTCCTTCATCCTTCTTGTTTGCTAGTAGGGCTGCCAGATTATAACAGCTTGCTTAAAAAGTCAATATTAACATCCTTAAGAATTTTAAGTATATAGTAATGATTTATAACAATATTTGCTTTTTCTGTCTATGAAAAATACCATTGTGCATTTTCCCAATCAAATCACTATGCATTTCACCAAATCAAAACCACTAATATTAGACAATTAAACACACATTAATAATCTCAACCATTTACTGCAGCACTTAATCCTGTTTTAAGAAAGTATATTCTAACTGTGTTATGAGTGCGTATCAGTGCATTGTTTCACTTGTATAAGCACTGTCAGTGCAAAATATGAGAGCAATATCCATCTCTGAGGTTCTGAGTCATTGTTTTCCCCAGCTAATGTAGATTCTTTTGATTCGAAAACTACTATTTGAAATTTAAATATTTCAAATGTTTAAAAAACATACCTCTAGCTCTCGTGCTGAGATGCTTGCTGTTTGTACTTCCAAGCCACAATTTGCTCTCTTGGCTGTAAAATAAAAGGGATAATCCTTTGCCACCATGGTGGCTGAAGTAGGAGCAGTTTCAGAGATCACTGCTGATTCTGCAGTCTACCGAATACTGAAAGGAAAGCCAAGTCTTCTCTTTACAGCCTCTGAGGCGTTTAGCAGCTTGACGTTTGAACCTCCTCCTGCTGCTGCATTATTCAAGACAACTCTTGTATCCCACAGAAACAGGAAGCAGAACAGCTCTTGAGTATGTCAAGAAAGTGTAACAGAATATGGCTTATTCCTGAGACCCACCCACTGACACTGGATGGGAGGAGAATGGGTGACATATATCAGTTTACATCAGCAATATACAGCAAATTACTCAAAGCATATTCAGAAGTCAGTGAAAAAACTGCACTAAAACCATATACCTATATATTCAGAAAGCAAGGAAAAACAACACACACTGCTCATAGCCCTCAGCTGTTTAAAAATACTATGTGAATAATGAACATTTACATTTAAAGTGTAATATCCAGGAATATTAGCATACACACACACACACACACACACACACACAAAGGTGGAATTCTGTATGCTTAGTTCTACATTTTTATAAAACATCTTTCATATATACAATTCCTCCTCCATCCCTACCCACATATTCTAAAATGGTACACTCTCCTCAATCATAAGTTGTCTTATGAAAACAGATTCTGAAAACGGCATATAAAATGTTTACATACATAGACACGTGCACACACTCATTCAAACATACAGACACAAACTGTATTTATGTGAGTAGTGTTAATTATGGATATATATGCACTTAAAGAAATTAAATGTCTTTACAATTAAGCTCCTTCAATATTACTTTCTGAATTGTACTTATTGAAGTAGTGCTCTATGAGGGGAAAAAACTGAATCAAATGCTTGTTTATCTACCATTGTTGCCTTTTCTCATTGGGCAGCAGAAATGTCTGTTTAGACAGTTAAACTGCACTTCAGTTTAAACAGACAGGTTCTACTTCTCCAATGCAATTCAAGCAAAAAAATATGGCCCAATGGATTCTAAAATGTTTGAATCCATGTTGTCTACCAAAGTATAAAAGGAGGGGGATAAGACTTTTGGAGACACCTTAATGCAAGAGATACTGTATATGGCAAAATATTCTATACATATACTTTGTATTTTGTTTCTATTAACTTTGCCTATTAGCTGTTTAAAGTGCAATTGTAAAACAACGTATTTGGGGTGCAAGAAAAACAACTGTGATTAGAACAATGAGAAAAGGAAAAAAATATTTTCAGAAATATTACAGAGGAAATTGCAAACATTGCACAAGTTATCAACCATAAGGTATGATTTACTAAATATATGGACAGTTGTATATTTTTTAAAAAATGTAACCAAATTACAGCACTTAATTCTTATAATTTTTGTAAATGAATATTTTAAGGAGGCTTCAAACCTAAAATAAACTTTGCATTTTCAGATATTTTTTCATTGGAAATATTGTCTTTTTAACTAGCATTTTTCTTAAAGGTAACTAGTTTTAAAGGTACAGAATCACTTCTTCAGGATTATGTTTTAACTTGTTATTAATCAATCTAGAATTCCCCAGAAAATCAAGAAAAAATGTAAATATATTCTGTTATCAGGCAAGACTACAAATTGTTATAACAATCTACCTTTTCAAAAGTCTTAAATCATTTAGCACTGAGTTTTTTTTCATCTCCTGGGATCTGGATGCTAAACACTTTTTCCTCTGCAAACTCTAAGCATGCCCAATAGTGCAATGCCTGATAAAATCTGATACAAGGTCATTTTTGAGAATTTTACAATATTTATTTCTGAATTTGAATGTGGGTCTTGAAGAAACTCCAAATTAGGAAACATAAGAGACACTCAGAGCATTCCTGGAGGAAAACAGAGTGAACCCCATCTAAGTACTGTATAGGTAAGAACATTTCTTAAGAGTTATCCATTAGCAATAAGGCCAGTAAAATTATTATATCTGCACAAAGATGGCTGGTAGCCCTGATCATCTTGAGTAAGAGGGGTTCAGGAGATCACTTACAGGACGGCTGGGAGGACTATTCTCCACATCTATCAAATAAAGTTGCTCGGATTCAGTTGGAGTTGGAATCTGAATATACACATCTTTTGGATTTGCATCACCAAATAATTTGATGATCCAGATGAAGCAGATCTTTGGAATTATGAGTCCAGCTCTCTGTTTTTCAGATTAAGATCCCTCCTTATTGATTAAGGACTCTCAAGAGGTAGAGAATGCTTATTTGAGACAGGTGTTGTTTCCACTTGTGTTGAAGAGAAAGTTGGGTGCAACTCGCTTAACAATCACTTTGCATAGCAATGGCCGTTCCAGTCCCAATTGTTGTAAGTCAAGGGTTACCTGTACGCTCCCACAGAGTGGGTCTCCTCAGGGTGCCGTCAGCCAGACAGTGCCGGCTGGCGACCCCCAGGGGGAGGGCCTTCTCTGTGGGAGCTCCCACCCTCTGGAATGAACTACCCCCAGAGATCAGGGTGATCCCTGATCTCCCTTCCTTCCGCCGCGCCCTTAAGACATGGTTATTTCAGCTTGCAGGACTGGCCTAGGGGAAATTTTTAGCGGGGGTTTTAAAATTATTTTAAATTATAGGCCAATTGTTAATATTTGTCT